GGGTGGGTGCGGAGGGGACCTGGGCGGGGCTGGGAGTTTGACTGACCCCAATAGTGGGGTAGGAGGCGGGGCAGGAAGCGCGCGTGACCCCAGTCGGCGGGACCGGATGTAGGCGGGGGAGGAGCAGGCAGCCCGGAGGGTGAGCGCAGCGGGAAACGGCGGGGAGCTGGTTCCCCAGGGTTCCGACCCGGTGGATGCGGCCAAAAGGTGGCGGAAGACAGGAAGGGAGGAGCTGCAGTGGGCGGAGCGTCCAGTCTGCGGGACCCAATGAGCAGGCGGGTTCCAGGCTGGGGGCGGGGCCAGACCGACGGGAGGGGCGGTGGAGGCGTAGCTGGCGTTGCCCCAGAGCAGCGGTTCTCAACCTGTGGGTCGCGACCCCTTTGGGGGTCGCCTAAGACTATCGGAAAACACATATATAATTACATATTGTTTTTGTGATTAATCACTATGCTTTAATGATGTTCAATGTGTAACAATGAAAATACATCCAGCATATCAGATATTTACATGACGATTCATCACAGTAGCAACATGACAGTTATGAAGTAGCAACGAAAATAATGTTATGGTTGGGGGTCACCACCACATGAGGAACTGAATTAAAGGGTCGAGGTATTAGGAAGGTTGAGAACCACTGCCCCAGAAGCTCTGGGAAGAGCCTGGAGACAGACTGGGAGGCGGGGCGGGTGGAGGGGACACTCCTGACCATGCCTGTCCCGGGTCAGGTCCGGGGCGGGGCGAGGGCCGAGAGCAGGACAGATGTGCTCCCGCAGGGAGGATGGCCTGGCCGCTCCTGGCTTCGGATCCAGGCCCCTCCTGACCTCTGGGCAGCGGGCAGGGGGCAGGTGGTGGTGGGCTCAGTCCCAGGGGCAGGCTGGGCTCTCACAGGACCCTCCCCAGGAGGAAAGACAGCGTTGTCACAGACATGTGCTTTATTGAACTCCATTGTACACACAGGTGCGAGTAGCAGCTGGGAAAGGGGGAGGGCCTCAGTCCTGGGGCAGGTGATAGGAACCCACGTAGCCGCGATTCAGTGCAGTTGTGTAAAATACGACGACCGCGATGATGACCGCAAATATGACAAGGAGGCCCAAGACCAGGGCCACGGAGTTCAGGCACTTGGCGGTGGACGCATGGCTCTGGGCCCCAATCACGTCTCCCACCATCTTCCGGTCCCTAGACTGGGGGAGAAGAGATGGTGAGGGGTGTGGACGGGCCCTGGGGACAGCCGGGTGCTTGACTCAGGCCCCGGCCCTGGCTGCTCCCTGCCCAGACCAGCCTCCACCTGCCCTCAGCCAGGCCAGCGACCCCCTCCCTGTTCCCTGGAGCCTGAGCAGGACAGGCCAGGGGGGCCTCCCTCACAGCCTCTCAGCCTCTCCAGGGCCTCAGGGCTCCTCTCCCCCTGCCCTGGCCCCTTTGCTGGCCTCTTCCCCACCAGGGCTCAGGGTTTTCTGAGAACTTTTGTTTTCTAGCCAGAGCCCTGAAGCCACATGCTGAGTCAGAGGAGTGTAATTTCTGGTTAATCAACAGGATATTCCTTGGAGTCCAGGGGACAAAGGCTGACCCTGCCGTCCCCAGGCAGCCTCAGCGTGACCTGCACACACACACACACACACACACGCGGGCTCCTTAATCCCAAGGGTCATCTGGGCAGCACACCTGTGGGGGCGCACACGCCTTCCATGTAACCGCGCACCCACCTTCACAGAGTAGGCGAACGCCACGAAGCCCAGGCAGCAGGGGTTGAAGAAGAGGGTGTTGAACAGGGACCAGACGATGTGGTCGGGCACCACGGTGTCAGTCTGGATGTTGATCACCGTCGTCCTCGCTGCCATCGAGCTCTGGGGACCCCCCAGCACAGGAACAATGTGTTCCTCCTTGAGCACCTCGTAGGATGGGGACACTCCGGCGCGGGGGATTGGGAAGACGAAGCGTCGCTGGGAGTTGGGGTTCATGGTGTCGGAGCGGAGCAGATGGTGTGAGGATGCGGATCCCAGGATAACGGAGCCTCAGTGGGGCTTCCTTTCCCTGGTTGTTTCGTTTTCCCCGAAGTTGCCTTGAGTTTGGCTGCGTTCCTGGAGGGCGTCCCTGCTAAGGGAGTGTCAGGTTGCACTGGAGCCCCGCAGAGAGAGGCCGAGGTCTGGGGGGGGCGGGGCGGGGAGGTGGTGGGGCTTCCTGTCCCGGTCACTCCAGTCAGGCCTGTCAGCTGCCTCAGTTCCTCATTTAGGGTGTATTGGGCCCGGGGTGTGTCTCTAGTTTCTGGAGTCAACCCCTGAGAGGGAGCAGCATTTGTCCCTGCACAGTATGCTCCTGTGATGTCAGGGGTGTTTTAGGCGAATTGGTTTTATAAATCGGAGAAGCTCTGAAAATGAAGTTGGATCCCCTTTGCAGGACTCATGCACACTTTCGGGGAGTCTGTGCTGTCGGAAGAGGGGCTGGCCTCATCCCTGGCAGCTCCTGTTATAACCTGGTGGTTGTTGAACAGGAAAGGAGGCAAGGGAAGGCCAGGTGTATGGCTGCCCAGTAGAGGTCAGAGTGACCTGGGAGGGTGCCTGCCTGCCTGCCAGTCAGACCTGGAAACAAATTAGAGGCCAGGATGGGTGGGCCCACTGCAAGCGCAGGAAACATGAATATTTAAAACTTCTGAACAAAGGAAGTTCCCTCCCTTCTCTGCTGTGGATGCAGGAGCCAGGCCCTGCGACTCCCCTGGCAGGACATGCTCCCCCGGCTCATGGTGCCCGGCCACATGGACTGATGGCTTTACGCAGCTTAGATCCCGAACTTCACCCGCTGCACAGGGAAGGGAAGCTCCGGACACTGGCCTCCCTCTGTCCTCCCTGATCGCACAGCTGCACCTCTTCCAGGACTGGCCTCAGGGCCAGGAGACTTTGGAACCCGAAAAATGTAACCACACACAACAACTAAAGCTCCTTCCGGTGCCCATTCTCCCCCGCGGGTCTTAGAACATTCATGTGCTGAAGACATCGCCAGCACCCCCCTCCCAGGGGGACACGGAGTTTGATTCTCCGGTGACACGATCAACGCAGAGGAGATGGACAGAAGTCTGCATGACACACCCCGCTGACCATGCTTTCCCTACGCACCCCCTTAACTGCCCTCACACGCACGCGCACACGCGCACACGTGTTCCTTGCAGCTGGGGATGATGTTTAAGATGGCGGCTTGGACCTTTCCTGGGCTACTCTGTCTTCTGGGGTCTCATGTATGCAGGGGGTTCACAAGTCACTAAACTACTGCTTTTCTACGGTTCATCGGGGTGTATGTGTGGTGTGTTTCTTTTCATCCTCACCTGAGGACGTGAGTTTTTTTATTGATTTTAGAAAGACAGGAAGGGAGGGAGAGAGAAACTTGGATCCGTGGCCTCCCAGACATGACCAGACCTGGGATGGAACCGTCAACCTAGGTACGTGCCCTGAGTGGTGATAGATCCTCCCTTCCGCCAACTGGAGGGCGGGGTATGCCCTAACCTGCAGCCCGGAAATACCTGAGTGACTAACCGTGTACCTTATATGGACTAGACATTGGACCACCCATCCACACCATAAGCCAGTGATGGCGAACCTTTTGAGCTCGGCGTGTCAGCATTTTGAAAAACCCTAACTTAACTCTGGTGCCGTGTCACATATAGAAATTTTTTGATATTTGCAACCATAGGAAAACAAAGATTTATATTTTTGAGGCGCACCCACAGCACCTGGCAGGGCCTGCGGGTCGGGCTGGAGGTGTCTGCAGTCCACAGGGCCCCGGGGGGTTGCGGGGTGTGGCTTGGGGTTCCCACCCCTCCCAGCACAGCGCCCAGGTGGCTCTACAGAGCATGCGCGTCCTCAGCAGCAGCAGCGCTGGGCCCTGGAACCAGAAAGGGGTGTCCGGCCTTCCCCTATATGGACCATACAGTAAGCCACCAATCAGCGCGCGCCCAGTACACTAAGCCCTCGTTCCTTCCCATTCTGCCCCTAAAGGCGTGCCCACCCTGCAGGTGCTGCTGTCCTCCCCTGCGAGACAGCCCGGTAGGTCTCTTTCCCCTAATAAAGCCTGTAGTCCTGGTTTTCGGCTCCCGCCTGGTCTCACACGTGGGAATCGGACCAGGGACATTCCAGTGCAGGGGTCGATCCTCAACCAACCGGGTCTCACTGGCCAGGCCGGACTAGGGCTCTTGATGGCAGATCCAGCGCCCAGAGCACAGATGGGAAATGTGGGGAAGGACGCTCTCCTCCCAGGAGAACGGAAAATAAAGTGAGAGCCACTGTGAAGAGGAAAAAAACACAAAACTACAGGTCGGCGGGGCCCGTGCAGCTTCATGGGGGTCCGGTGCCGCCTGGGCTGTGGCACGTGCCTCTGAGAGCCGCCCCTGGGGTGCAGCAGCACAGGCGCACCCACCGCAGCGGGCAGGGCCTGCGGGTCGGGCTGGAGGTGTCTGCAGTCCACAGGGCCCCGGGGGGTTGCGGGGTGTGGCTTGGGGGTCCCACCCCTCCCAGCACAGGGCCCAGGTGGCTC